CTCATATTTAAGTTCATATTATTCTTTTCCCTTCCTGAATCACTTCCAGTTGGTGTAGAAAAATTTTATTGCCGATATATTTTTGGTATTTTGCTCATGGTCAAAGTGCTTAAAGCCATATTAGTATGGAATAAATATTTTCTACTAATACTACTCACGGATTTAAGAGAATACGTTTTTCAAACATGATGTCAGGACAGACAATACCTATTCCAAAGACTCAAAAAATCAGAACTTACTTAAGAGGATCACTAGTTTCAGCTTCATGATCTTCTGCTGCTTGACTCATGCTCAAGGTATAAACCTGGCAACACTAACATCTCAGTCCGGTTGAGATAAAAACTAGGTGGAAAGGGAAGTCCACTCATCTCTCTACTGCTGAGGAACATAGGCAGGTCCCACATATTTTGTCGTATAAAAGCAATGAACAAAGAGAGATGTACAAGAAATAGAAACTGTTCTCAATCGCAAATGGGTGCATATATTGTGCTTTAATGCTGTAATTACAAAACAAGAGATAACAATCTTCTTATCACAAGTCACAAACTTACGTTCTGAATTGGTATTATGTGGCTGTAAGGACAAGTACTACCTGAGCTACACTGGAGACTGCCTCTCTACTAATCTACTGGATTTGTTTAATTCTGAATGTAATATGTTTATATGGTAATATGTTACCATACCTGGTAACAGTTTGAAAAGCTTTTTTTGTTACTGAATTTGACAGAGCTGGAAGGCTATTCTTTTGAGAACCAAATGGCAAGACGACTTCGTAATCATCTTGCTGAATTTCCAAACACTCGGTATGCATTCCCTCTATACAAAACACAGGAATGATAGATACGCCCTTCTGAGGATTTGTTTATGAGGGTTATTTATACTTGATCATTTCATGTTCATCCCCTCCTTTTACAAAGCCCCTGCTGGTTACATTGCTTAGTATATTTTGAGACATCTCACACAAATGAATAAAACTCTGGCAGAACTTGGCTAAGCAAATACACTCACTGAATACTCACTGAAACAGAAGCTCGTGCTATAAAATGCCAAACAGCCCAGCAATAGTAAGTGGCTAACAAGTCCCCAGGTAGCTAACATTAAAAAAATAAAAATCTATGTGATCTCGAAAATAAAGAAGCCACATGATAAATCATCACCCAAAATGATAGCTACAAATGCTTCTGGAGCTGAACAACAGCTTCAGTGATCATCCACAAAAGAGGCAAGGAAGTAATCAGAATGCTATGGCAGCACTTCCACAAGGAATATAAATTTCTTACAACTGATGACAGTTCTGTGATAGAAGTGTGACAGACATTTGATTACAAAAAGAAAAAACCCTAGTACTGGTAACACTCAAGAAACTACACTGAGTTTTTAACTCTCAGTAAGTTTTAATAAAGTGAAATAAAAATGCATTAGTAATGTTGCTGCTGTGAGTGAAGGTTGAACTAATCAGCAGCGCTCTAATGGAGGCACGCTTTCTTAAAGGCCGGCAGTAATGCTACCACAGTACAAGAAAGGAAATCCGAATTTGACTACACGAGAATTTGAATTTAATCCTGGTCACCCAACACTGAAATTCTGAGTACACCAAGCAGGCAGCCTAATTCTCACTGAGGGTAAACACTTGTATAAAACAAAGTAAAGAAAAATGAGGAAACCTAGGAAATTATTGGCATATAAATAAAAATCTAACTCATGAATAAAATATGCCTCAAAGTTTTCCAGCTCTAATTATAAAACAGTCTATTTTCTTTTCTGTTTTAACTTAACAAATTATTTATAGGTTTCCATACTAAAGAATAATCCTCGTTTATTATGTTCCAACATAACTCTCTTTTAAATAAATTTGAAATTCATGAGAGCAGAGTGTACACATGATTGACATCAGCAGTAATACACCTCAGTCTCTTCGATAGCGGAGAATGGTACTAATACAGCTGTTAACTTCAAGCTCTGGAGTGTAGCTTTTTTGCTCATTTCTCTAGTGCTAGAAGTCTTAATAGTGAAGATGAACTCTGTCAGTTTGTTTCTCTGAGAAGTATCTCACTCATATCTCCTTGCTGAAGACAAGGGGCTCTGTGGATACTCTGGAGATGGCACTAGTCTCAAACAAGGGTGCTAGTTCACAGTAAACCTATCCAACACTTGTGAAAGGGATCTCTTATGCATCAGCACAGCGCTTAAAAAACATATATTCATGTGCAACAATATGAATTCAATCAGCCTGTATTTCCTGCACTGCTGAATCAGAACCAAGAGACAATACCACCTCACCTTAAAACTACATTTTCAGAGCTGTAACACAATGTAATGCACAACAATGATAACAGAGCAGCGAAGTCCTAGGCTGCAGCAAGGACTTGCTCAAATGTAGCAGCCGTCAACACAGAAACAAAACAAAATCTGCTTACCTTCAGAAGACCTCAGGTACACAAGGATCTCAGGCAAAACACCCTCGCCTCCACACTGGTGCCTTTGCACGAGCTCTGGGAAGGGGTGGATCCTGGCTCCACCCCCTCTGCTCACTCAGGTACATTGCATGCACATGAGCTCCCCTGGGTTGGCACTGCTTTCCCACCAGGTGCTCAGTCACTGGATCAAGATGTGACTTGGCATTTATGCTACAGAGGACCATATTATTAATTCATGTTCACTTGTGTTTCAGTCACTTTGGTCTATGAAGTTATTTCAGAGTAGAATTGGTTCTTGACAGTGGAAGCTTGGCATAATAAAGACAGAACACCCTCAGTTCTGTTAAGAGACGGTAGTGAAAAAAGTATTGCCTAAAACCACAACAGAAGAAGAGAACCTCATAAGTTGGAGAAGTTCCAATTTTTGATCAAAATAGAATCATTTCTGGGACATGAAGTTAAAGGAGATTTTCAATAAGAACCATCGAGAGTAGAAATCACAGTAATGAACCTGATCCAGTGCTTAAATATCCTAATTTCCCTCACTGCATTTTCAACATGCTTGTGTCATTCCATCAAAAATAATGAAACTTATTTTTTTCTTGGTGGCAAACGTTTTCTCATTTACTAAACATAAGAATTTTAAACACAAATATTTTAGTCTTTCCTGATAGAACTTGTATGTTTGTATTTTTAACCTCTGATCATCCTAGTTGCTTCTCAGTACATACATTTTTTCCTTTTATTGGTCTTGCACACTATTCCAGTTAAGCAAAACAGAATGATTGTCTCACCTCTCATTTCTGTTTACATGCCCTTGTAAAGTGCTGGCATTTTCAAAGTTGTTTGAGTACTACTCACTTATTTGTGGTTTAAAAAAAAAAAAAAGAACAAAAGGTATCTACTTCTGATTCACTTTGTACAAAAGCTTTCTCAAAGACAGCAATGTTGAAAATATTTATTAGGTTTTCTAGTCTAATGTTTGATGCTCTTCTAATATGAGATTAATTGGAACTAGCCTATAGTGACTGATGTGTGTTAGCTTATGATAAGTGTGTATCTACAGCAAGGCTTGAGTCCTGAACAAAGGTAACCACAGCTTGGGTTGGAAGGGACCTTTAAGTCCATCCAGCTCCACCCCATGCCGTGGGAAGGGCTGCCACTCAGCACCTCAGACTGCCCTGAACCCCATCCAACCTGGCCTTGAGTCCAGGCATGGGGCACTCACAGTCTCTCTGGGCAGCCGTGCTACTGCCTTGTCACCCTCTGAGTTAAATATTTCTGTCTAACGTCTGACCTAAATCCCCTGTACATAATATTAGAATCATAGAATGGCCTGGGTGGAAAAGGACCACAATGATCATCAAGTTTCAACCCCTCTGCTATGCGCAGGGTTGCCAACCACCAGACGAGGCTGCCCAGAGCCACATCCAGCCTAGCCTCGAATGCCTCCACGGATGGGGCATCCACAGCCTCCTTGGGCAATCTGTTTCAATGCATCACCACCCTCTGTGTGAAAAACTTCCTCCTAAAATACTAACGCTGAAGAAACCCTGACTGCTACAAACGATATGAGAACTTGTCAGGAAGAGACCAGGCCTCAGCCTCATACTCTTAGAAAAACTGAAAACAAAAGAAAACAACATAACGACACCGAAAATAACAACAGCAACAACCCAAAGTCCGTAGCCTTCAAAGAACCAAATTACTGGGAAAATAAGAAAAAATCCAAAGTTCTTTGTAAACAATGCATACATTCATTAATAATGTAAATTGGTTTTTGCCATTTTAAATATATTAATTATAGATAAGTACTCATATTTATTTGTAGTACTTCAGTGGTTGCATTATCTGCTTTTCTGAAAACTCTTGGTTTTATATTTGCAACATGTTTAAGAAAAACATTTGTACCTAGACACTTATTGTTTGACTTGTGGGAATACAAGAAAAACTGTTCAGAGCAGAAGCTGTGGAGCAAGATAAACAGCATGAGAACCAAGGACACCTCTAGAAAAAGAAAGAACGTCTCACGGCTCTGACTGGATAAGCACCTGTGTGAATGGTTAAAGAGTTTGTAGAATGCTCTGTTGGCATGTAAAGGTGGATGGGAAAGTTGTAGGAGCAGATAGGAAAGTGAGAAAAAGAAAACTTGTGAATGTATATAAGTGATGTGAGAACTTGTAATAAATGATTTGGATCATTCTCATCTTAGTCTGTGCATCAGACGCTGCATGACTGAACAGGTTAGCTTCTCACTGACATCTCGTACCATCACCGAGAGTTCTTGAGGCACCAGAGGTGAGCAGAACAGGCTCCTTAATACTAATGTGGTAATACAATACAGAAATGTAGTATTTCACTTCAAAGCAATGTGGGAAGTACTGTTTGTTAGCGCCATTATCAGTGAAAAAGTTTCTGTTCACGAGTCTGCCATAACCTTAAGCAAATTCCACTAAATTTTTGTTTTGTCCATAACACAGGGATGACCTTTCAGTTCTCTTGCCACATTTTTTATCTATAAATTTAAATTTGTAGCTCATTCACTGACTAATAGAAAAACCAATGGTGTTTGGCGTATCGGACTTCTTAATGTAGGCAGGGCTGCCACCGGGGTAACTAACTCAGAACATGCTTTTGAACTCGAGGTAAGGAAAGGAAGCTAAAGGAAATAGGCAAAAGAAAAGGGCCACACAACTCCACACTCACTTGCAAGGGAACCTACCAGTGACTAAGAATATCAATGTCGCTTTAGTTCTAGCTTTGCCTCCTCAGACGTTGGATGGAGAAGGAACATGTAGCAGCCCAATAGCACAGTCTCAGCTTCTTGGTAAGCCAACATCGTTTAACTGCTGGTTTGTGGGCTGAATTGTCATCACTTGTGGGAGCCGCTGGCTACCACTATCAGCTGCTACATCAACGCAGCCCATTTCAAAAGAGAGCTGCGCTATTTGAGTCCTTGCAGCTTCGGTAATGTAACAGCAGAAAGCCTGGGCAAACAAAGGAGATGAGTTTGAACGGTCTGGAATTTACAGAGAGGAGAGCCAAGTCACTGTTCTTTAGCACCTCGTATGGTTCCTTCCAGCACACGCTTCTCAAACACACAGAAAAGTGCCTCTGACTGTGCCAGCACAGCCCAGCACCTCAGCTCTTGTGCTTCACCAGGCACAGCTGCGGAGCTGCGCTTCAGCATTTTCCACTCAGTCCGAAACGCGCGTTCCACAGATTGTTGAATCGCAATACAGATTTTGCGTTACCCATATTGCTCTTCTGGAGCATTCTGAGGAAAAAGAAAAAAAAAAAAAAGAAACAGAAAAAAAAAAGAAGAAAGAAAAAAAAAAAAAGAGGGTCCTCCTCAAACATCAGCAGCGGCGACCCGCCCGCGCAGCGCCGCGGGCACGTGCACAGCCGTTACCGCATTGAAGTAACGGTCGCTGCGCGTGCCGCGTCTCGAGGAGAAACATCGGGCGCTGTCCCACGTGCGGTTGGGGGGGAAGGGGCCAGCGACGGGCAGAACGAGCAGCCAATAGGAGGAAGTGGGGGAGCCGGAAGCGACGCGCGGCGGAAGTGCCGCGGGGGCGGGGTGGCGGTGAGCAGAGTCCGCGCTGCGTCGCTTGGCGGGGGCGGCGTGGAGTCGCCTGCCGCGGGGCGGGGCGGCGGATGAGGCCTGGCAGACTGCGCGGGTGATGCGCGCCCCGCGGGGGATGCCGGGCCCGGCGCCGAGCCGCTAAGGCGCCGCGGGGCCCGAGTGGAGCGGAGCGACCATGCCGTGCACCTGCGGCAATTGGAGGCGGTGGATCCGGCCGCTGGTGGTGCTGCTGTACATCGTGGGGCTGCTGGTGGTCGTGCCTCTCTGCGTGTGGGAGCTGCAGAAGCTGGAGGTGAGAGGCTCGGGGTGGGGGGGAAGCGGCCTCCGCGGTACAACAGAGGCCCTGAGCCTCAGAGTGGCCCGGGTGTTCGGCTGCGCCCCGGGCCGGCCCGTGTGTGTGCGTGTGTGTATGCATTGTCGGCCAGGGCGGGAGCGGGGCGGAACGGGACAGCGGGCGGCCGTTCCCTCCTTCCCCTTCTTTCAGTACCTGCAGAGCAGACGCCGAGCTGGTGGAACGAGCACGGGATGCACTGCGAGCCGGATCCACAGATAGCGACGGAGACTTGGTGGTTCTATGCGTTTCAAAAGCAGAAAACTCAACTCAGTGTTGGAATACACGCTAAGCATCCTTCCTGAAACATGATTCACAGGCAAAAAAATATATACAAAAACAAAAACCAAAAGCAACCTCTTGTTCTACCTGTTTTATTTTCAAGGATTGATCCCAGAACTTAAATCTTGCACTCTTCTTTCTCTTTGCAAGGTTGGAATCCATACCAAGGCATGGTTTATTGCAGGGATATTTCTACTGATGACCATACCCATCTCCCTCTGGGGAATACTACAACACTTAGTCCATTATACTCAACCTGAATTGCAGAAACCAATAATAAGGTAACATCTCACCTTTTATCTCTGCTGCAAATATTGAATTTAATTCGAATGAAAGATATCTCTAGTAACATTAAGTGTTCTTTTGTTCTTGTAACAGGATTCTGTGGATGGTGCCGATTTACAGTTTAGACAGTGTAAGTGTTCTCTTACTGCTAACAGCTCAATAAAACTGTTTGCTATGGGAGCTAGGAAAAATGGTGTCACAGCAGAAACAGTGCTGCACACAAAGTTGTAGTCCTAGAAGCTTCTATTTATGTGTTATGGAGTACATCAGAAGTGTTCTAACAGTATTACATGCTAGTTGGGAATCCTGTAAAATCACTTTTGCAGCCTCTTCTTAACCCTCTCAGTCCTTGAACATTCTTTCAGTGCTTTGGAAATGGAGTTAAGTGCTTACTTCTGGTTCTTCCATTTTCAGTAACAGCTGAAACGGAAACCTGTTGACCAGCCTAATACAAATGCACTCTCAAAATTCAGAGCCTTACCTTTCTTTCCTGCATTAGGCTTAGCACTAAAATTCTTTACCAAAAAACGTTTAGTGCTAATCTTCCTTCTTGGGGAAGAAAGAACAAGGCTTCACAACAAGCCACTTCTGAGTATTTTTATATGACAGGTAGCCTTGCAAGTTGTTTGTGTATGTGTCATCTGTTGCTGCTTGCATAGATGATTTTGGATACAGCTAAGCAGCACAACAATTCCATGGATTGTATGTACAGGGTGTGTGTTTACACGTTATTGTCACCTCTTGACGTTGTTGTTACTTACATTGACTCCATAGAAGACAGGTTTCCAGGAACCTATCCTTTGAGCTTTTTCCCCCCCCTCTCATGTCCTCAGATTACATAAAGTGTCACCTTCATGTACTTTTTTAAAGGAAGCAGCATTATCTGTTTCCTGTAGGAGATATCAAGTACCTCAGACTGATATTTCAGTTATTTTCATTTAGAAGTAAAATGCATGCTAATTATATGAGCTCTATCCAGGCATTCCCCAGTGCTTCTGACAGGTATTAAAAACTTTCCCCAAGCTCTTGGATCTTACAGCCTTTGCTGTATGTATGATATTTTAGAGCTGAATATAAAGCTCAGTTATCAAATTCAACTAGATGCATATTGTCCACAAAGACATGGCAGGAGCTGTTACTTCTAGCAGTTCATAATGAGAATGAGCATGTTAAGCATCTTCCTGAAGTTCTAATAAGAAGGTCGGTCTAAAAGGCACAGTATTCACTCTGCTACGCTTCTGGAAGCATCGTAAACTCAAAATACTTCCTTCTGTTTGGGAAGCAAAACAAAAACAAAAAAAAACTCAGTTTTTTTTCTGTTAGAAATGCTAGCTTAGAGTGATGACCAACTACCACTTAGAGGCTAATTAGCTACCATCATGTAATGTGCTGTAATGCAATGGGAAGTGCAGCAATGACAGCAGAGCAGCAAGATACTAGGCTGCAGAGAGTAAGAATTTGCTTAAATGCAGCAGCCACGAATACATAAATAAAGAAGCTGCTTACCTTCAGATGGCCTCAGGTACACAGGAACGAGCAGCAAAAGATGCTCTTGCCTCCCCTGCCAGCCCTTAAATGAGTTCTGCGAAGGGGTGCATCCTGGCTCCACCCCTTCTGCTCACTCAGGTACATTACATGCACCTGAGCTCTCCTGGGTTGGCCCTGCCTTCCCACCAGGTGCTCAATCACTGCTACATACCATGACTTAGCATTTCTGCTACAGCTACAAACACACTAGAATATTTACGCATTAGACATGAACTTTGTACCAAAGGACTAAAAAGTTAGTTTTGAAATCAATATCCATAGAATGGCTTAGGTTGCAAAGAACCTTAAAGATATCTAGTTCCAACACCACAAACTTTGACTATGAACATGTGAATTTGAGGAAGCTGTTCTACCTAGTCTGTTTTTAATAGGAGTAGGTCAGCTATAGGAAACCATCTCCATAGTTACCTTTAATTTAAAAGATTGAATTGTGTTGAGAGATGCAGAGCTCCCCTTGTGCAGTGCTATAAGCTTGCTTTCATTTGAAGAAGCAGAGATGCCATCTAAAGTTCCACTTGTATTTTTAGAAAATGTCATTTTCTGTCAGTAGCATCACACTCTTGCCAGACAAATTACTTTGAGTTCTGTTTAATTAGTGCTTCCTGTCTACTGTAGCATTGCTTATTGAAGTAGCCTGCCAGCGTTGTCATTGGAATCACTTCTGCCTTTCTAGTGTGTAACTTCTTGTGTACCTCTCTTCTTGCAGTGGATAGCTTTGAAATACCCCAACATTGCAATATATGTGGATACATGTCGAGAATGCTATGAAGCTTATGTCATCTATAATTTTATGGTTTTTCTTTCAAATTACCTAACCAACCGATATCCAAACCTCGTATTAATAATAGAAGCGAAAGATCAGCAGAGACACCTGCCTCCCCTGTGCTGTTGTCCATCGTGGGCTATGGGAGAGTGAGTATTTGATGACATACTGGATGTTAAGCTGTGTAGTCAGATACAGATCTTTCTGCATTTAGTAGTGTACTGTTGCTGCTTGGCAATAGTCTGTTTATGGTTAGCATACCTTGTTCGTCAGATGAACTCTGACTGAAAGCAGCTGGGATGAGCGTGTTTCCATCTAGCAGTAAAAGATGCTAGAAATCACACTTACTTCCTAATGTTGACTCCAGTGCTGCTGAGGAACACTTACTTATTTTTGAAAAATGTTGAAGCCTCTCTGAGTTTCCTTCCTTTGCTATCACAGAATGTTTGCCAAAGCCTCATTTTGATTCAGTGACACCACACAGCATAGTGTTTGTATTTCCATAGCTGAGAAAAGAGAGGCCATATGCCCATGAGCTGCTCATTTCTGTATACTTACTCAGATGAGCAGAGTCAATTTTCCTCCTCTCAAAAGATTTCAGTAAAGCTGTTTAAAAATGTTAAACTATGAATGCAACTCCTAAACATACCCAAATGCAGGGACAATTTCATTCTCTTTGTTTAGCTCAGTCAAAATCTTTTTGTGGCTGGAAGTGAATTACCAGGTATTTAATGTTAGGCATCTGTAAAGTCCAGGTCTATTTGATTGCGTGTTTGCACAAAATACGTTTACAATTGAAGTTCTGGAAATAAGCTAAGTTCAAGTCACCGTGAAATAAAAATGCAGTTTAGTGAAACCACTGAGAAAAGAAATTTTCCATGAGTCAACTGTCTTTAAATTCTTGTACAATTAATTTTGCGTTTGTTTTGCAGAGTTCTGTTATTTAGGTGTAAACTCGGCGTTTTGCAGTACACTGTTGTCAGACCGTTTACTACTATTATTGCTTTGTAAGTACACCCATAAATAATGTACATTGGTCTTTGGGACATAATTTTGAGTTACACTGGAAATGATTTTCATGCCCTTTGTATTGAATCAATGCAGTTTGAAAGCAAAGTAGTTGTGTTGCGTTCTAAATGGGTCCTTGCAATTTGCAACAGCCTCTGATTTCTTTATGGCTTCTCTACAGCAAATGCCTTTTTGCAGAATTGAAATAATAAATACTCAATGCCCACAGGTGAAAGGAGTGGAAAAAGATGTAAAATACTGTTTAGGTGGGAAGGACATTTTAGAGTACAATTCTCTCGATTTTAGAGTTTTCTTCCTCCTTCCTTCCTGGTTTTAACAACCATGTATTTCTAATGTCAGGTTTCATGTAATTTTGTAGGTTGTATTAAACTTTACATGTGATAAGCCTGACTTTCTGCCCTTATATCATAGAACTGTTGTTGTAAAGGAGGAGCAGGCAGTTAAGCCAACTGATGTTCAAAGCTTAAATTCATAAACTTGGTATTGTTGATCCGTGCAATCAATTCTGTAGGTCTGAGAAAAAGCTGCTATTCACAAAGAATATCCAGTAAATATTTGTATTAATGATGCGTTCTAACAGTTAGAAGCAAAGCAGCTAAAATGTGAGGTTTATTTTTTTGATCTATTCAGCAATGGGATATGCTAACTTTGCATTTTCCCTTCTCATTTGCTGTGCCAGAAAGCAAAATTTCATGTACCTATATGCATTATGGTACGCAAACACAATTTCTTCTGTGGAAATACAGTATCTACTTAATTTATTTGTTGAAAAATGATTGTGCAGACCTTCACTGTCTGTGTTTGACAACCAGAACAGTTCTAATAGTTGATTAATGTGATGGGGGCTTAACAGTTCAAGAAACTGTTAATGTATTACTTTGTCACTAATTCTAATAACTCTTTCAGAATTTGTGAGCTAGTAGGTGTGTATGATGAAGGAAACTTCAGCTTTGACAATGCTTGGACTTACCTGGTTATACTTAACAACATGTCACAGCTAGTGAGTATCAAAAGTGCATCTTTCTACTCTTTTAAGTCATCATACTAAGAATATGTGATTCTGCTTATGTGAGCTATTGAGAGTAATTGCATGAATGTCAAATCATTATTATAGCTAGAATATCTCACTGTAATTCTGTTCTTGTTATCTTTTTCAATACCGTTTGTGCAAAATGTTTAAACTCCTAAACTCCATGAAGCAGTAAGGTGTCCTGCCTCTCTACCCCAAACTGTTTGATGAACTGTCTGACCCACGCATCCTAGCTTCCTCCCAGCACCCATACAAAGATTCTGCAGTGACTTTGTTAAAAATACTGTTACAAAGGTGGGGGGAACAACCTCTGAAAACTGGAAACAGAGCATGCATCCTTTAAAGGAAAAAAAAGACAGCAAAATTACAAGATTTTTTTGAGACCCTATAGGCAAATATTAGCCTTTCAAGGGAAAAGGATACTCACTTCTGCAGCAGGTTTAGAAAAAGCACGACATTCCACCTGAAAAGGGTTTCATCCTGGTGCTGTGGCTGTGTGTGCTGGGTGACTGTTGGTTAACTCATGAGCTGCAGCTGCTTTCTGCTGCAACAACAGTCCCAGCAGCTGCACTGACTTCTGCACGTTCAGGTTGACATGATGGCTTAAGGAAACTTAGCAGTAATAGGCTGGGAGAATTATCAGTGAAAAGAGATCAATTTAGTTTGGCTGCTGGTAGCTTGGTTGCTTGCAGTCTAGATTGTTCAAATCTGCAGCAAAGACTGCAGTCATTTACCTTTTCTTATAAAGAGACAACCTCTCAGATGTTCTTAACAGACGTCTGAAAGAACACCTGCTTTTTATGGCAATTGCTGTAGAGCTGCACTTGGTTTTGGAGAAACATGGCAGCTTCCTACACTTTCTTTTAGCTTCTGTATTTAAAATGGCTTTTGTAGGTAGATGACCTCAGTCTTTGACGATACAATTCTAAAACAAAATTTCAGAAAGGAAAAAACAAGCCTGCTTTAATGCAGTAAGGACACATTCCCTAAATACAGACCTTCTTTTCAAAAGACAACTTTTGTTCCATACTGTGATGTGTTTTATTACTGAAGAAGTCGTAAACAAATCAAGTAAATATTTAAAAGCTTTTTTTTTTTTATTTCCTTGTTAGTTTGCTATGTATTGTTTAGTGCTGTTTTATAAGGTACTACGTGAAGAACTGAACCCTATCCAACCTGTTGGAAAGTTCCTGTGTGTGAAGATGGTAGTTTTTGTTTCTTTCTGGTAAGTTAATTACTTACTGGTTAGTTCCTGCTCTCAGAGTGGTGCAGTAACACTCTGTTAAAGAAGCAGGTTGTTCTAATAACAAACTGGAAAAAACAAGCTCTTACGTTGTCTTCTCTTTGGGTCTTTAGGGCTATGAGTAAATATTGTACTGCATTCAGTTTTAAGTACCTCACTAGAACAAAGACATTGAGGCTCTGGAGCATGTTCAGAGAAAGGCAATAGAACTGGTGAGGGATGCAGAGCATAGATCTTACGAAGAGTGGCTGAGGTAGCAGAGATTGTTTAGACTGGAAGAGGCTCAGGGAGGAGACATTACCACTCTGTACAGCTGTCTGAAAGGAGGCTGTGCTGAGGTAGGGGTTGGCCTCTTCTCCCACATAAGCAGCAGTAGCACTAGAGGGAATGGCTTCAGGTTGTGCCAGGAAGATTCAGGTTGGACACGAGGAGAAACTTCCTTTCCTCTCCAAAGGAGTAGTCAGGTGCTAGAATGGGCTGCTCAGGGATATCACTGACCCTAGAGATGTTCAAGAAGCGTTTAGATGTTGTGATGATGGATGTGGTTTAATGGGAAATATTGGTGGTAGGTGGAGGGTTGGACTGGAGGTCTTATCCCCATTTTGGTGATTCTATTATTTTAACATTAGCCTGTTCTCTTTCCCTTCATTTAAAACCTAAACAAACAGCAAGGTTTTTTTAAATGAGATTCTTAGTATATACATACACAAGTATACTTCAAAGTAGGCCTTGCTTACCAGATTTGCTTGGAGGTTTGTAGGCAACACTATTATAACAATAATTAATAACTTTTATAGGCAAGCTGTGCTTATTGCATTGCTGGTGAAAGTTGGTGTTATTTCTGAGAAACACACCTGGGAATGGCAGAGCGTGGAAGCTGTGGCTACAGGCCTACAGGTAGGAGCAAAGA